TTTGCTTTGTTTTGTTTTCTTGAGATGGAGTCTCACTCTATCGCCCAGGCTGAAGTGCAGTGGTGCCATCTCAGCTCACTGCAACCTCTGCCACCCTAGTTCAAGCAATTCTCCTGCCTCAGCCTTCTGAGTAGCTGGGATTACAGGGGCCTGCCACTGTGCCCGGCTAATTTTTGTATTTTTAGTAGAGACAGGGTTTCACCATCTTGGCCAGGCTGGTCTTGAACTTCTGACCTCGTGATCTACCTGCCTCAGCCTCCCAAAGTGCTGGGATTACAGGCATGAGCCACTGCACCTAGCCAATGGACAGTTTTTAAAAAAAATGATCATGATCAGTTATGTTTTCTCTAAACTAAATTATGTGACTTTGAATTGCCCTTTTTTGGATCCATCATTTTCATCAAGGAGAGAATTTGATCCAATATTACTCAAAATAAGCCATACTATGCTGCAGTAACAAACAAACTCTTAACCTTAGTGGTAGAATAAAGGTTTATTTCTCACTCATATTGCTGGTTTAATATAGGCCAGCAGAGCTCTATTCTACACAACCACGAACCCAAACGTCTTTAGCTATTGCCATCTCAATTGGTAACATACAATTGTCTTGGACTGGAAGTGATATGTATGACTTCCATTGATGGCCATTGACCAGAACTAGTAATGTATAGTTCCAGCAGACTGAGAAATCTTTCATGTGTCCAGGAAGAAGAGGAGATTGAGATACAGTGAGCGATGCTGATCTTTGGCACAAAATATTTCACAGTGAATTCAAACAACAAATATATAAAAGATGTTAAAACCTTGGCTTATAACTTCTTCAAGCTATATAAGATAATATACAAGATGTATATTTTCATAACTCAATGTAATCTGTTGATAATGTGACCCTGATCATGCTATAAGAAAGTTTTCCTATATATACTAATTACCTATAGCCTAAAATATTTTGCAATATCTAGTAAAACAATTTCCACAAGCACAATATTTCCTGTTTATCTAAGAATCCAGATCTTGAGGTAAACTTTGGGCTAGTCATTGCATCAAATACCTGCTCTTCATAAAGGGCCCTCAGATATAGTTACAATGTACGATGCTAGAAAACTGCAAGTTTACGAGATGAGATGTAAGCTCTTTTAGGGCTTCCATATTTAAGCTGTAAGTTGGCCATTTCCCCACAAGAAACCACGTACACTGCACAGACTCAAAGCCATTTGCTCCTGCTGCCATTTGCTAGACAATTTCTTAAATAAAATGTCTGCATAATAATTATAGTTTTCAGACACGGGGTCACATTACTATTTGCATGTAGCATTTGGAGTTCTTCAGGCATATTTTAAATGATTATAATAGTGACAGGAGTTGCCAAATCATAGCTTCCACCAATACCCAAATCCACTTATTTTAGCTTTCCAGGAGACAGGCTCTGTAAATATCAAAGACACAAATGGACAAAAAACCACCATAGAAATTTTATAAAAACAAACAATCGGCAAGAGCAGTGGTAAGAGAGCCAAATGCAAGTTGAAAATCTAACAAATATTTATAATGTAGGCAAGCCACAATGTGCACTATAAGAAGAGCTCTGTGCCTACGACCAAGGGGATGCGTGATGCTCCTTCCTTTCCTGCAAAGTAGTGTCTTCTAAGACTCAGTTCTGCAGCTAGCAATGATTATTGTCCTTATAACCAACTGAAAACATGTTTGATTATTTGTAAACAAAAGGGATGATAAATAAAAATGTTGCAAATTGAAACGACACTGAGATAAAGTAGCAGCAGTCATTTGTAAGCTTTATCCTAAATGAGTTAGTTGTCCCTTACTCACCATTAGCTAAAGAAAAAAGAATTCCCAGGCAGATGCTTCCACACACTGACTGAAAAGACCCCAACTTGGCAATTCCTTAGTTTTACTTTCTAAATAAGGGAAGTTCTAAGTTCTTTACATCCCCCTTGCCTACTCACGTATAGTATTGTTGTTTTTTTAAATTTCATCCACCCACAGGAAATTTCTACAGCTTCATTAAACCAGACTACTAAAAGTTGTTCAACAAATGAGCATGCCTGTCTCTCCCCTGAAACCCAGCTGTGCTTACAGGAACCGAGACCTCAAAGTGCAAGGATTTTGATCTTCTGCTTCCTAGAAATAGTGTGTGGGCCACCCACTCTATCAAGTGTACATAAAATCTTTACTCTTGAAGTCACTTTTTCAGTCTCTTAAGTGCTAGCGTATTCCTGAGACATCTCTTTTCACTGCAGACTGTCATTAGGTGATGTTCTCCATTGCCTTGATTTCTATCATGCACTGACTCTCTTTATGTTGATGTCACTCAGAATCTTGGATGTGGCTCCCGTCTCTTTAAATTTGAAATGTCCCCAAATGAACTCAACATTTTCTCCTCACCTCATTCTAAACAGATTTCACTGCCAGGTGTCCTGGCCAGAAATCTGACCATTACTGTGACTCCTGCCTCCCATCTTTAATCAATTAATTGTCTAAATTTCTCAATCTATACAACTCTGTGTCTCCAGTGTTGATTACTGCAAGAGTGTCCCAGCCATTCACCTCATGCCTCTAGTTTTGTTCCTTTACGATTCATTTTCCACCATGGTGCCAAGAATTGTCTTTCTAAAATGCAAATCTTGCTATTTACTTGCTTAAAACTCTTCCATGTGTTTCTCTTGCCCTCTGAATGTAATACATCTTTTAACAGCCTTTATGGTTTGGCTGCTACTAACTTCTCACTGCATCATTTGGCAACAGTGTGCATCTCCTCGTGTTCCAGCCATATTCAAATGTTCATTTCAGCTGATATGCCATGCTTATTCCTGTAACTAAATCTTGATATAGCCTGCTTTCTCAAAATATTCTTCAGCTTCTTTCTTCAAACCTATTCCGAACTCTCCTCAATCCTCCTGAATTTCACCTGAATAAACCTCATTCTCTAGATTGACCAGGGTAAAACAAAGCCCAAGATTCTTTATCTGCAATGCAGATTACATGGTTGTCAGGTGTGGGTCCTCAGCATCCTGTCTTTTGTTCTTAAGATTTACTGTAACTGTCTGTCAGTGTTGTCCCCCACTAGCCACCTAGCTCCACAAATGCAAGGACTGTGTATGTCCTACTGCTTCTGAGTCCCCAGAATCTAATACAATAATAGATGCACAGTGGCTGTTCAGGAAGTATTTGTTGAGTAAGTTTTAAATGAAGCAGGGTGAGGAATCTAACATTCTGTGGATGAGATATTCCCTTCTCCTAAAGAAACCAGGTAGAGCAATAATCAGCCCATGAGACCTTTCTCTTTTCTTTGTCTGGGTGCACCCTGGTAGTGACATCATACAAGGATAGTCACAGCTCCTGCCTGCCTCATTCCTAGAGGCTCTATCCAAGGTGAACATTTACTTGGCCTTCCAGCTAAAAGAAGAACAAGCCATTTTCAATGGAAGTATATTCTAGGAAGAATATAGTACGTATAGTGTCAGATGGAGATTTGAATCTAATTGGGAAAATTACTATGAAAAAAGCATAAAATCGTTATTTTCTATTTTCTTAGTAGCTGTGACACCTCTTTCTTGTTTTTTCTTTATTTTTCCAGAGACGTTTTTGTTGGCTCTTTTCTGTTGGTTTTTGTTGCTCTCTTTTTGCCTGACCTCTAAACCTAGGTATCCTTAGAGAGGCTAGATCTATTCAAGCCACAGGCTCTCCTCAGGCAATGTGCACAATTTCATCATTTTCACAAACCCATATATACATATGAATGACATGTCTGTATCTTCAGCATTGCACTTTGGCCCCTGTATTTACTGAACATTTTAGATCAAATGTCCTATAGGCAGCTCCAAGTTAACACCTCCAGCAGCAAATCTCCCGTTTTTTTTGTTTGCTTTTGTTTTGTTTCTATTGTCTTATTTTTTTTTTCTGTTGTCCTATCACCACTCCCAGTCCAAGCCATAGATTCAAGAGGCACACTTGAAAACTACCTTACCCTTTCCTTCTATGTGCAATAATTCCACAAGAACCACCCTTAAATACGTTTTGGTCCTACCTGTTCCTTTGTTTCTGGAATATCCAAACAACCATTCAACCTTTACTATCTTTTGCCCTAATAAAAACTTAAATAGACCTTCGTCATGTTATGTTAGGTCTCACAACAGCCCCCTAACCAGTTTCTCTATTTCCAGGCTTGCCAACTTCCTGTTTCTCCTACTCCTGCATTTTTACTCACAGCTACCAAGGTGAGCTAATCTATTCATCCAATAGTGTCACTCCTCTCCCCTGCTGAAAATCTTTGGTAGCTCTCTTCAGCCATGGCTCTCATCCTTGGCTATTCAAAAGAATCAAGTGAGCAGGATTTTCATAAATAGGGATTTGGTATCCCTCTCAGTCCTACTGAATTCTCAATCCCAGAGAGTAGGGCCTGAGCATCTGGGACTCTGCTGAACAGCCAGAGTTGAAGCCTACAAGGTGGCATATGAGAATTTCCGTAGCCCAATCCCTGCCCATTTCTCTACCCATCAACTACTACATCATATCACACTGTATCTGCTCTAGTAATGAATATCGTGCATTTATTCCACTCACTGCCATGCAAACTCTACCCACTCAGACATCTGTACTGGGTTTATTCTGTTGCTCCCACTAAAACCCTCCTACCTATCTTCATTGTTCCATTGACTCTGCTTCATCTTTAAAGGACTTGCTGAGGCATCATCTCTTCCAGGAAGCCTTCTCTGACTTCCTACCCACCCCACAACTCACTCACTTCCAAGTCTAGGTCCAAGATGTATTCACAAGTGTTCTTTTATATTCACACAGTACTCTGGCCTGTAAATGTCTTTGTCATATCACACTACAACATTTTGCTTAAATTATATGCTCATATGTATGTTTCCCTCACTAGACTGTGATGATCTCTGTGTCCAGAAAGTCAGAAGCTACTTCAGCCCCCTTCAGGGACACACAGAGGAGCATTTTGAGAAGCTCTTTTAGTGCAGGTTTTGCAAGCTTCATCATTGCAGTAAATCTGGAGCTATGTCAAGAAACCCAAAAGAGGCAAAAAGAGTAATGGGAGCCAAGAGGGGTGCCAAGAAATTCAGGTTTCATGTGTGACATTTGAAACGAAAGATCGGGAAGCAACCTGGAGAAATTTCCTGATTTTGTACTTAGCTGTTCACTAGCTTTGGCCTCTGTCCTTGGCCTCCGAAAATGGTTAAAGGCATTGACAAAAGAGAGCAGAGATTGGCGCGCGCGCGCGCGCGCGCGCACGTGTGTGTGTGTGTGTGTGTGTGTGTGTGTGTGTGTGTGTGTGTGTGTCCTGCCTCACAGCTGCTGATGAAGATTTTCTCGTTGATTAAACACCAGCCAGGCTCCTCTCAGTCCTCTTTTCAACTAACCTTCAACCTTGGCCTAGAAAAACTGTCAGATAAACAAATTTCATCTACCCCAACCCCCACATTAAATGACTTCAACAAATACTAACGTAGTTTCTAACACTTCAAGGGTATGTCCTTGGGATGATGACTCCAGAATCATAACTTCCTGACTGAGAAAGCTCAAGGCTGTAAAACAATTTTACTATTTTGTTCTAGCCAACACCTGAATAGGGTCCCTGTCTCCCAGTCTCTGAGGGAGGGTAGGAATCTGACTTTGATAAGCATCGGTTAGCAAACCCAGATAGCTCCACGTGGATCAACTCCACTTTCTCACATTTTGTAAATGTCCACTTCCCTGATTCTGCTCAAGCTCTTGCTGTTCCCCCTCCCTAGCTCCTCATTCTTCTTCTATGAGGTCTGGTCACCTCTGTGCAAATCAAAGTTCTGTTCAGTTCACACTGGATCTACTTCTCTACTGCAATAGTTAATGACTAATGAAAATTTGTCTTTACCACTTCCCTTAGTGTCTGGGTTTCTTTATCTTTGACAGCACCTTCAGTAATACACATTCTGATATCCTTGGGAATCCGATTCTTGAGGCTGATGAGGCACTTAGTAGGGCAACTATTTCCAGGAAAATCTCAGTGAGCAAAAGGAGGATGAAAACCCACCAGGCAATGGTTGGAGGAAAGTGTGGCTCCAATGAAAGCATTAGGGGTGACATATTTTAAAGAAAAAATATTTCCAATAGAAAAACCATTTGGATCCTCAGGTGAACATTTTTGAAGAAATATTCCTCATGGCAAGGATTTTTCAATAGAGGAGTGTTCTTGTCCCATGAACTTACTGTCTTGACTTCTCTCCTTTCTGACTAAAAAATCTACTGTTTCTAAACCTTTCTTTTTTCTACCTATAAAACACAAAAGTTTTATGAAAATGAGTTACATGAGTTTCTAAACAAAAGAAAATATTAACAGAAGAAAAACTGTTATATTACTTGATTTAGGGAATTGACTTAATCTGTACAATCTGAATTTTTTTATTATTTATCCATGTTCTGGCCTTTAACATTTGTTTCCTTGAGAGTTACATAGTTTTATAATTTAACCTTAAGTCGTAAAGGTCCAGAAAGAAAACTCAGATTAAAAGACAAATAAAACAGACAGTAGAGATACTCAATAGATTTACTTAGATCCATTCACTTAGCATCAATGCACAACACATTCCAAAAGCAAGCATATATTAAATTTAAAATGAATAATATTAATTGGGTTCAATAATTGGATAAATGGTCAAACGATTTTTATTGTCTATGTTTTGGGCCATGCATTTCATTCCTTATTGGCTTGCTTTATTGAATTAACATATCAATTATTTGTTTTGATAGGAATAGAGAAAATAATCATGAGAAGGGGCAGTGGTGGAGAATATACTTCTTACTGCCGCACACAACATGTATGGCAGGTGATGATACCAAACAGCTAACATCTGCGGAGACCTAAATGGCACATCTTGGCACATGTGGATAAGTATAATGTTTATTAATCTAAAAAATGAGAAAATATTATAAAAATAGAAGTAGAAAACCCTAGACAAGTTAAAATACAGAAAAATTTTAAGCAAAGTTATTTGAATCAGGCAATATTTAATATATCAAATATTAATCTTAATAACTATGTATAAAGTAATCTAAACCCAAGACACTAACCATGCCAAAAGGCTGCAGGCCTCCTGACCACCCCATAATCCTTTGGTAGGATTAATATTCTCTGATTACATACTTCAGCACCCCCTGGTTACAATAGTACTTGTTTATTATTGAGATTATAAAAATAACCATTCTCTAAATGATTACACATAGTAAATAAAATTAGAACTATAGATAAGGATTTGAATAACTGCAGTTTCTTTAAGGACCACTTCCAACTTCTTCTGTCTATTTCACAAACCTGCAGAGGAGAAATGAAACAAAAGAAAATGTGCTTAATAACATGTCTACATTATAGCATATTAAAAAGAAAAATTGATATTTTAATGATTTCCTCTATTCCAATGAACCTTTACAATGATATTGACATTAGAATACTACCTCTATTAATCATATTTGTAGCCGATATGTCAATTTCTGATATCTGTATAAAATTCTAATCACATTAGATGGCAATGTGGTTAGGCTTTGTGTCCTGACCCAAAGCTCATCTTCAATTACAATTCCCATAATATACATGTGTCAAGGGTGAGACCAGATGGAGGTAATTCAGTCATGGGTATGAACTCCCCCATGCTGTTCTTGTGAAAGGAGGTGAATTCTCAGGAGATCCGATGGTTTTATAAAGGGCTCTTCCCCCTTCACTCTGCACTTCTTCCTGCTGCTTTGTGAAGAAGGTGCCTTGCCTCCTCTTTGCCTTCTGCCATGATTGTAAGTTTCCTGAGTCCTCCTCAGCCATGCTGAACTGTGAGGCACTCAACCCTCTTTCCTTTATAAATTATCCAGTCTCAGGTATGTCTTTATAGCAGTGTGAAAACAGACTAATACAGATGGCAAGGGAAAATATTCAAGTTTCTAGAATATTTTACTTTTTTTTTTCTGCTTCGTATCATAGTTATATTTAATATTTTGATTTACCATAAATATTTTGAAGGAAGACCTTCAATCTCAATCTTACTCACAGGACCTAAAAGAATGCTTTGTGTGTGGCATTTGCTTAATAAATATTTATTTGATGAAAGAGAGGAAACAAAGTTAATGAGGGAGAGAAAGAGAGGGAAAGAGAATCTGGTTGTTTTTGCACACTTTTTATTTATCTGGAATGCTTTACTTACTCCAACCCCAGCTAACTCTTTTATCAACTACATCTTTCATTCCTTTATGCTTTACCCTTAGACATTACTTTCTCTTGACCCTTTGACTACTAGTCAAGCTAGAACTTTCCTGATGCACATACTCATTCTCATGCTTCTATAATCACCATCAACAGCATTTTGTGTAAGTAGCTGTTCACTGTGTGTCTTCTCCACAATTTAGTAAGTTCCATGATGAGAAGACCTATGATAGGTGCTGTATCACACATGATAATGATATGTTCTATTCTCTGACAGTAGTTCCTGATCCATTATAGGTTTTAAATATGAATCACATGAGTGATTTACTTGTTAGAGCTCTTGAACTAAACAGCAGTATGCCTGTATATCATACAAAGTGTTCTTGATGGGCTGAGGAACAGAACCACATGAGGTATAGGTACCTATATAACCATATAGATACATGTTGTATACCAATATTTAATAATATATACCTCATCCTTCATTATGGATTCATAGCTTTCTAATATGCAGATTGCTACAATTTTTAAATCAATCTCTTTTTTTGATTATTAGGTTGTTTCTATTTTTTACATGCTTTCCATGTTCTCTTGTAAAAAACATTTTCATGCTTTATTATAAAACATGTGGCAATGAACATAATATTCTGATAGCTATATCATACTGCATTGAAGAAATTATTTATTTAGGTAATGTCCTAATGCAGAATTATTGAGTCAATGAGCAATTACAGCAGAGCAAAACTGAATTAGCAGCCAGCAGTAACAGTAAACTCCCCATTAATCAATGTGTTTATGCAGAGTCTGGGTGACCATTTGGTAGGGATATTGCAGAGAAAAGGCTAGCATTAGATTAGGGAAGAAGTAGCCGGTTCTAAGTTCTTTCCAGTTTAATATTCTGTGATTCTATGAGTGGTAAGGATAAACTCAACACCTTTGCTTTTCTCTGAAACATACTTAAGAGATGATACAGTGTTTTTTTTTTTATTTTTGTGTATATAGTTCATACAGTAGCCTCACATTCATGGATGTGAAATTATTCTGTGATGCTATAACTGCAGGGAATATATAATAGCATCATATTGTCCATGGCCTACATGTGGGAGAATATGTTTTTTAGCTCTTACCTATCTAGAAGATATTATTTTTCCTGTCATGGAGAAAGGGTTTAAAACACCCATCCTCCCACCTTAGCAAGGAAGAATGGAGACTAAATGAGAACTCTGAAACCTATAGAACACACACACACACACGCACACACACACAGAGAGAGAGAGAGAGAGAGAGAGAAGAAATCTTATAATCTTATGCAGGGTACTTGGAGAAAAACCTATTCTCATTAGAGGTCATGAGGACTAGGTATTTTGTAAAATACAAATCCTGAGCAATTTTAGAAAGTACCCGTCATTAACTGACATTGATATTAAGTGCCCTGAGCAAACATACCAGAGTAGACCAGTGTAGGACAAGAAGAGCATGGAACGCAAAGAAGAAGATCAGCAGAACCTGCACAACGAAAGAAACAGAGATAATATGCCAGGCCAGGAAAAATAATTTATTAAATATCATTTCCTAGTGGTTTAACAAATTTCTAGTGAAGATTAATTGAAATTAATATCAAAACTATATTTATAGTATGTACAGTGCTAGAATTCTATATTTTGACTGCTTAGTAGTGTGTATATCCTCATTCCATTAGTCAGCCATTTTCCACTTAAACTTCTGGTAAGTTTTCCAATAAAATCTAAGGCAAAATGCCCCTCTAGAGAGTGTTCTGGGTATGTATGTGGTCTGTGCGAAGATCCCTTATAAACTGCAGTCATAATTGTGAAGCCCAGCATGCGTCAGGCAGGAAAGCCATGGTCTGCTCTGCAGACTGTGCCCCAGCAAAGCTTATTCAGTCCCAGACATGTACATGCTACTTATTGTGATGCTACAAAATTATAAATTAGTACATTATCAAGCTATATGATTTCATGGCATAGTATATATGTGTATGTCTGTGTATGTGTATATATGTGTGTGTGTGTGTGTGTGGTGTGTGTGTACACATATATATGTGTACACACACTATATTGTCTGGTTCATAGCATTACAGGCTAAATGTGATTCCTCTGAACCCAGCCCTGAGGCAGAAGAATATGAGACTATCTTTGAAGGAAAGAGAAAGTTATGCATCTTGGGGAAATGGGGCATGACTATTCTAGTTCAAAAGAGTGGCAAAATAAAACAGGGTGAAAGCAGATGAAATAAAAAAGATGATAAGTAATTCCACATGTCTTGAAAAAAAGGAAATATATTAAGTCCAAATTTTCCACGGCATCTTTTAGAACACTAGCCCTACAAGATATTAATCTAGATGATTCACAAACAAATGGTTCATTGGTCAAATAATTTTGGACAACATCATACTATATCTGATTTTTGAAGAATCAAAATATACAACAGCACATTAAAGATTCTTAGAAGTCCTACACTAAGAAAAATGATTTAACCTGATATTTACCAAAGCTATTTTAGAATATATTCTAATATAACACTCACTTTTAAAAATTCTATAGAACACTTATTGGTTAAGTGCTACTTCAACTAGAATGAAATGGCTTGTTGATTTGGTGGTCATTTCATACATTCTGCAGCAAAATGCAGACAAGGATGGATTTTATATTCAGCTAGACCTGAGTTTAAATCTTATCTTCACCCTTTCCTATCTATGTCCCCTTGAGTAAGTCAGCATTGCTCAGAATCCTTCCCAGAGGATGGCTCTAAGAAAAATACTTTTGAAAGTATCGGAGGAGGATCCAAGATGGCCGTTTAGGAACAGCTCAGGATTGCAGCTCCCAGTGAAAGCACAGAGGGTGAGTGGATGCCACGTTTTTATTGCCCACAGATTAGGAAATTCCTGGGTGGAGGAGCTCCACGGTCGCCAGCGCGGCTGTTTTGGCCAGCGCGGCTCTGCCGGCCGGCGCTGCTGCTTTGCCCCGCGCGGCTGCTTTGTCGGCGCCCCGGAGCCGCGGTTCTCCGTACAAAATACACCGGTCCGGGGCCCTTTAGGCTGGCGAATGGAGCCACGGGAAGTCGCCGATTCGCCGGTTCAAAAAGGGGACTGAGCAGAGAACCAGGACAGTAGATTCCAGGGCCAAAAAAAAAAAAAAAAAAAAACACCACAAACCTCAGTGCCGCTGTTTAAGCCAGCACAGTGAGTGGCCGCAGGGGAAAACAAACAGACCCCGGCGCCTCTTCAACAGGCGACTGGAACACCAACTTAAAAAAAGCTCTGAGGCAGGGAGCCAGGCGATCAGGCTCGGCTGGCCCCACCCCCACAAAAGAACAGCAACCAGAAACTCTGGATTGAGAGTTTCACAGCAAGCACAGCTGAACCCGGGACAGTCCAGCTCTGTGGGGGAGGGGCGTCCGCCATTACCGAGGCAGCCCGCCATTACTGAGGCAGCCTGCCATTGCCAAGGCAACCCGCCACAGCAGAGACTCCGCCTCAACAGAGGCGGGCCACCATCACCAAAGCAGTTCTAACTACACCCATATAAACAGGACTGCAGGGAAGTTCACTCAGCAGCTGGGCGGAGCCCACAGCAGCTCAGCAAAGCCTCTACAGGCAGACAGTGACTAGGCTGCCTCCTTGCTGGGCAGGGCAGGTCTGAAGGAAAAAAAAAAGAAGGCAGCAGCATAACAGAAACTCATAAATAAAGCCCTAAATCCCTGGGACAGAGCACCCGGGAACAAAAAACAGTATATGAGTTCTGCTGCAGCAGACCTAAAAGTACCTGCCCAGCAGCTCTGAATGAACAACAACAGAGCTCACAGCTCACCATTTGAGCTCCTATAAAGAAGAGACCGTCTCCTCAAGCAGCTACCTGACCCCCATATATCCAAAGAGACGCCTCATAAAAGAGATCAGATTGACACTAGGCGGGTATCCTTCTGGGACAAAGATAGCAGAAGAAGAAAACTGGTAACAACCCTTGCTGTTCAACAGCTGCTGCAGGTGAACCCCAGGCAAGCAGGGCCTGGAGTGAACCTCAGCAGACCTACAGCAGAGGGTCCAGACTGTCAGAAGGAAAACCAATAAACAGAAATAACCGCCTCATCAACAAACAGAACGTCAATCTGAAAGATTTCAGACCCAATCTGAAAGCCAGCAACTACAAAGTCGACAGGTGGATAAATCCTTAAAGATGGGAAGAAACCAGCGCAAAAAGGATGAAAACACCCGAAACCAGAACACCTCTCCTCCTACAAGGGATCACAACTCCTCACCAGCAAGGGAACAAGGTTGGATGGAGAACGAGTGTGATGAAATGACAGAATCAGACTTCAGAAGGTGGGTAGTAAGAAACTTCTGTGAACTTAAAGAACATGTTCTAACCAAATGCAAAGAAACTAAGAACCTTGAAAAAAGATTTGACGAAATGCTAACGAGAATGGACAAAATAGGAATATAAGTGAATTGATGGAGCTGAAAAATGCAACACGAGAACTTCGTGAAGCATGCACAAGTATCAAAAGCCGAATTGACCAAGCAGAAGAAAGGATATCAGAGGTCGAAGATCAACTCAATGAAATAAATAAAACGGGAAGGCAAGACTGGAGAAAAAAGGGTAAAAAGGAATGAACAAACTCTCCAAGAAATGTGGGACTATGTGAAAAGACCTAATCTACATTAGATAGGGGTACCGGAATGCGACGAAGAGAATGAATCCAAGCTGGAAAATACTCTTCAGGATATTATCCAGGAAAACTTCCCCAACCTAGCAAGGCAGGCAAACATTCAAGTCCAGGAAATACAGAGAACACCACAAAGATATTCGTCAAGAAGAGCAACCCCAAGGCACATAATCGTCAGATTCACCAGGGTTGAAATGAAGGAGAAAATAGTAAGGGCAGCCAGAGAGAAAGGTCGGGTTACCCACAAAGGGAAGCCCATCAGACTCACAGCAGATCTCTCAGCAGAAACCCTACAAGCCAGAAGAGAGTGGGGACCAATATTCAACATCCTTAAAGAAAAGAACTTTCAACCCAGAATCTCCTATCCAGCCAAACTAAGCTTCCTAAGTGAAGGAAAAATAAAATCCTTTGGGAACATGCAAGTACTCAGAGATTTCGTCACCATCAGGCCAGTTCTACAAGAGCTCCTGAAAGAGGCTCTACACATATAAAGGAACAACAAGTACCAGCTCAACTAAAGGGCAAAACACCCAGCTAGCACCAAAATGGCAGTATCAAATTCACACATAACAATATTAACCCTAAATGTAAATGGACCAAATGCCCCAATTGAAAGACACAGGCTGGCAAATTGCATAAAAAGCCAAAACCCATCGGTGTGCTGTATCCAGGAAACCCATCTCACATGCAAGGATACACTAAGGCTCAAAATAAAGGGATGGAGGAAGATTTACCAAGCAAATGGAGAGCAAAAAAAAGCAGGAGTTGCAATTCTCATCTCTGATAAATTAGACTTTAAAGCAACTAAGATCATAAGAGACAAAGAGGGACATTACATAATGGTAAAAGGATCAATGCAACAAGAAGACCTAATGATCCTAAATATATATGCACCCAATACAGGAGCACCCAGATACATAAGGCAAGTTCTTAATGACTTACAAAGAGACTTAGACTCCCACACAATAATAGTGGGAGACTTTAACACCCCATTGTCAACATTAGACAGATCAACCAGACAGAAAATTAACAAGGATATCCAGGACTTGAACTCAGACCTGGACCAAGAAAATCTAATAGACATTTACAGAACTCTCCACCCCAAATCCACAGAATATACATTCTTCTCAGCACCACATCACACCTACTCTAAAATTGACCACATAATTGGGAGTAAATCACTCCTCAGCAAATGCAAAAGAACGGAAATCATAACAAACAGTCTCTCAGACCACAGTGCAATCAAGATAGAACTCAGAATTCAAAAACTAACTCAGAACCGCACAGCTTCATGGAAACTGAACAACTTGCTCTTGAATGTTGACTGGATAAACAATGAAATGAAGATAGAAATAAAGATGTTCTTGAAAACCAACAAGAATGAAGACTCAACATACCAGAATCTCTGGGACACATTTAAAGCAGTCTCTAGAGGAAAATATATAGCAATAAGTGCCCACATGAGAAGCAAGGAGAGATCAAAAATTGACACCCTATCGTCAAAACTGAAAGAGCTAGAGGAGCAAGATCAAAAAAACTCAAAGTCTAGCAGAAGACAAGAAATAGCTAAGATCAGAGCAGAACTGAAGGAGATAGAGACACAAAAAACCCTTCCAAAAATCAATAAATCCAGGAGCTGGTTTTTTGAAAAGATCAACAAAATAGACAGACCACTAGCCAGATTAATAAAAAAGAAAAGAGAGAATAACCAAATTGATGCAATAAAAAATGATAAAGGGGATATCACCACAGATTCCACAGAAATTCAAACCATCATCAGAGATTATTACAAACAACTCTATGCACATAAACTAATAAACCTG